ATGCAGCATTCTTACTCAGCTCTGGCACATTGAACTCGATCTTGTCATCCCTGATTTCAAGAATGAGTGTACCCTTTTTCACATTTATGATTGCTCCAGCAGTGGCTAGAAATGGTCTCCCGAGAATGATAGGAACTCGGGCATCTTCTTCCATATCCAAGACAACAAAGTCTCTTGGAATATAGTATTTATCGATCTTCACAGGAACATCTTCAAGAATGCTGATTGGATACTTCACAGAGCAATCAGCCAACACTTGCACCAAGATCACAAAGAGCTTTGTTTACTTTAGATCCTCCGATGTAGCATGGAATTGAAAAACTTCCAGGATCACGTAGTTTTGGTGTGATCTTATTTTAGATAATGGCACTGCACTCTTGACTCATGGCCACTGTGAGAGGATTTTCCTTCTTCTTTGTTAAGATCTCCTGAAGAAATTTGGCATATGAAGGAATTTTGGTATGGCATCATGTAAAGGAATAGAGATATCCAATTGCTTGATACGGTTCAAGAACTTTGTTCTTTGTTCCTCAATATATGATTTCTTGAGTCGGTTTGGAAAAGGAATTAGTGGAGCATATTTCCTTACCAAACCTTCTTCTTCTTTTTTCGTTCCTTCTTTGATCTGGATTGACTCCGGCAACATTTCAGCAGCATCTCCTTTGACTTTGTTCTGAGCTTCTTCTTTGACATCCTCTCTTCTTTCTTCTTCAGGATCACTACTGTAACAATTATGTTTATGATTGGGCCCTTGATTAAAAATCACAAACATTCCAAATTTATTTATTTTTAAATACAACATCTACATAAAATAAAATTAACAATCCATATTAAAATATTCAAAACATTAAGATGGACAATTAATTACACCAACTTCTAACCCCAATGTAATTTAGATGTACATAGTTTGAAGCTTAAAAAAATAAATATTTATTACAAACATAAAAATCTTACAAAATGGAAGATGTGTTCATGAGCTCCAAATATGATAAATGATGATGAAGATGGAGTAATTTTTATGTGTTTGGATGAAGAAAGTGGTGAGATATTAGTGATGGAGGAGGAGAATTACGGATTGGAGAGAGGAGAGAAATGGTGGGTTCCAACCTCTTAGGAGATGAGAGGAGATGAAATTTTATAGATAAATTCGTATATACGGAGTATATACAAACAGTAGTGTAATATGTCAAAACATCTCTTGTAGCGCACATGGAAATGCAGCTGGTTGTCGTGCTCCGTAACCCGTGTTCGAAGCTTCCCACCGTTCGCAATGGGTCGAGCTTCGGATCCACTACCCGTAGTCTAGGGTTCAAAACCCAATGGCGTTTCTCTCCCTTCCTTTTTATTTAATTCCTTCTTTCCTTCAAATCTCTTCCATTTCTTTTTGTCCCGAATTTGCATGTTTATTCTTCGTTCTTGCAATTATTATCAATGCGTCCAAATGACCTCAAAATACCTGGAAAACATATAAAACCAAGCATAGGACCGCTCTACCAAAATAAAACAGAAAACTGACATAAAATGTAAACATTAATTCAATTGGGACTCAAAACTCCTTCAAAATATGCCTAAAAAGTTTATAAAATATGCGCATATCAATAAGCACATGGGAAACACATTCAAGTCAACTAATTGCAGTCAAGTTAACTTATGAAGCGTACCATCAAAAGCTTTGTTGTCTTGAGGATCAGCGCATCCTATCATTGCATAAGTGCGCGCTTAATCTTGTCCTGGCTGTTGATTCTGATTTCTTTGTTGATTTGTTTCTGGAGTCATATGTTGACTTTGCTTTGGTTGTGGTGCAATCGTTTGACTACGAGTGTTGCTTGCACATGGGTAGTGCTCGGGTTAGTGGGATAGTTCCTTTGGAAGTGGCCAGCCTGCCCACAACCTAGACACAATCCCTGATCGTACCAACACTCGCCTGGATTTGTCCTTCCGCAGGTAGCACATGGCTGAAAACTAGAAGTCTTTGACTTACCACTAGACGCCACAGACTGGGTTGGCGGTCAGACTGCTAAGTCCCGCACAATCACGCTATAAGAGACGCATGAGGCTTGATCTCTTATGCATGCATATGATATGATATTCTTCAATATGGATGATGAAATTAATCATATGATATGAACAATTTGTAAACAATATGAATATGTAATCATACATTAATTTATTTGGGTGAAACATGGTAAAAATATCATTTAAATAAGCTACGGGGCTCGGAACGGTCGACCATTTGGCACGGCGGTCGACCTCGATCTTCATTTCGTCGGATTGGCGGATCACTGTGACGGTCGACCGCGATTGACCGGCGGTCGACCATTGTTGACTGGATGAGAATGGTGGTCCTCGGCTGGGCAGGCAGCGGTCGACTTTTGGCCACCGGTTGTCGACCGTGTGTGTGACAAACGCGCTCCGTTTCGATGTCCAACGCGACGGTTGACCGTTTACGTCGACCGTTCGGGTCTGCGAATCTAATTTTTGATATTTTTGGATATCTAAAATACTTCTTTGAGTCATTTTAACACCTATGATTAACATATCTTTGTATTTGAAGTATTCTTAACACTTATGTATATTCATGTATGGAAGAGTATTAAGAAAAACATATTTTTCAATGTTATGAGTTTGATAAGTTCGATCTTAAAACATAGATGACTTATAATATGACAATCAATCCTAATGATATATCTAGATTGATATTCAACCAAGGATTGCGTTACTAGAGTGCAATGTACTCGCCTTGATATCGTAGAGGTCGGAAAGATAGAAAGATAATAATATGCTTCAACGAACGTTCAACGTACGGTCACCCCTATCAACTTTGAGCTTCCTATGCCCAATCTTCTTGGAAATAACCTCCGGAAGTTCCTAATAACCAAGAGAGAGTTGACGGTAAGTATTTGGAAGAAATGATGTGAAAAATGATGAAGAAAACATGGCCAACTCGAGGAGCTCGCCACCACTGGCGCAGTCCCGGTATTTTGGCCATATTTGCTTTGTTACATAACGAAATCACGAACCGTTTGTTGGGTTGGATTCGTAACGTCCGGAGCTACGATTTTTGTATAATAAATAATTCGAGAAAATGGACAGAAAATTACAGAATTTACGAATAAGTTGCAGCTGCGTTTGAACTCAGGATTTTAGAAAACCTTGATATTTCTTCTTGCTCCTTCTTATTCCTTTAGCACAAAAATGGAGTTGAATGAAGCTTGTCTCCCCCCTTCTTAAATTGCCGACAGTGAGAGAGAGGATGAAGAGAGAGTTGAGAATGTGTGAGATGATTGGACACTACGCCAAAAACATCATCAGACCACTGTTGATTCACTACTGTTTATGCAAACACAGTAGTTGAAAAAAAACAGACTACTGTTAGTTTTTCTTAAGAAAGAACAGTAGTCTAGCTGCGATGCTTTAAAACTATTTTTCAAGTTTCGAGAAACGGTAATGTATCATTAGTTGTCTGTCTCAGTTCAAGATACAGTTTTTCTTACAACAGTTGTCAATAACAAGTTAAGAATACTCTTTTTAAACAATAGTCTGGGGTTTTATTCTAGAACTGTTTTTAAATTTATTAGAAACAGTTATCTAACGTTTGTTGTCTGTTTCATATGGGTTTTTTGCCACTGTTGTTTATAATAGGAATAGAAGACTCTTTTAGAACAATAGTCTATAAATTATGGGTAGAACTGTTTTTGAAGCTGTGAGAATAGGTCATCTATTATTAATAGTCGGTTTCGTAAAAAAATACAGTTTTTATTGCCACAGTTGTCAATAATTAGTTAAGACTACTATTTCTTAACAGAAGTCTGGTTTCCCAATGTATAACTGTTTTTAAACTTATAAGAAATAGTATTGTATTACAAGTAGTGTGTGTCACTATTTTTTTCACAGTTATCTATAATAAGTAAAGAATACTCGTTTTAAATAGTAGTCTAGCTCTTAAGCCTAAAACTATTTTAAAAGTTTGGAGATACGGTAATCTTTTTTACAATGAAAATGTATACGCTCTCTAACTTTACATTCATACTTGTAGGCAAAATTTATACAACAATCAAATAACCGTTGTCCCAAACAATTATACGGACATGAAAAAATAAACACTTCCATTGAAAGAAAAGAAAAAGTACATGGACAACACACAAAGAGAATTGGATGGGAACTTGGCCTCCTGGCTTTGGCATGGCAGCATCACCAAAACCATCCACAATAGATTCATCACCTTTCAAAGCCTTCTTTTGACAGCAAACAAAATGGAGCTATCTTGGTCACTGCCTGGGCTATTTTTTTGGAGTTGAAGGTTTGTTGGATTCTTTGGTCCCAATTGCAGCAGTTCTCTTGTCCCCCTATCTTCATGCCCCTGTCCA